CCGGCCCGGTCCGCCCTGCAGGCAGCGGGGCCAGCTCGCCACTCTGACCCCGTGGCCTGGACCCTGGACGCGGCGGAGGGCCCCCATTCTGCCTGTGAGGTTGGGGTTCCTGCTGTGATGCTAATGTGCAGTCTCTCACCCCGTTAAGGTGACGCAGCAGAGTCTGCCCCACAGTCTCACCCACGGACAAAGGGACCGGCTTCTGGAATGGCCAGTGCACGCACCCGTGAGCAGCGCCTCCCTCCTGCAGACACACCCACACCCACCCAGGTCAAGGCCAGGCGGGCCTGGGGTGGCTCGGGCCGTGGGTGGAGGAGGCCACTTGGGAGCAGAGTGCTGTGATCGGTGTCCAGGAACAAGGCTGGGACGTGAGACTATGTCAGGGTCAGGGAGGGCCTTCCAGGGTCAGGGAAGAGCCGAGGTGAGGAAGGGTGGACGTGACCCTTGAAAAGTCAATGGCTGAGGTGGCGGGAAGGCACCACACTGGAGCGTCACCACACAGGAGAGCCACCACACTGGAGAGCCACCACCGATGGCTCTGTCTGAGGCTGCCGTCTGCCCGGCCTCCCATGCCGGCTCCCTGGAGCTGGCCCTCCCTCAGCTCAGTTTCCCCTTCTGTCTGGCAGGGCTGGCGGTCCTGGTGGCTCCCACACGGCCACCTGCCCGACCCCATTGTATGCAGCGTCTGCTCCGGGCACGGCTGGGCCAGCCTGGCAGTGTCCGAGGGGACCCTGGTCTCGGAGTCCAGGAGCTGCGCCGTCACAGCTCTGGGCCAGGGCGCGACATGGGTCAGCCACGAAGCTCCCCCAGCCCGTGCCCTCCTCAGGAACACAGCCCGTCACAAATGCCACTTCACGCCCAAGCGCCCACCCTGGGGGAGGACAGACGGTGTGCGGCGGCCCCACGGGGTGGCCACGACGCCCAGGACCTGCAGCAACACGGCGCCTGCCCACGACCCGACTGTGGGCAGAGCGGCCCGCGAAGCATCTGTGCGCCGCCGACGGCCACCCCTCGGAGGGCGCGTTTGCGGGCGCGTTTGCAGACGCGGGGACGGGCAGCGGGAGCTCCGCACTCCCGTCCCCCGAGAGCCGCTCTGCGACACCACCGACCCCTCCCCTCCCCTCCGCTCTCTAAGCTTTTCCGGTGGACGTGGGTTTTTAGTAAGATGGGAACGGGGTGACTGTTACAAAGTCGGTGGCCCGAGGAAGCCCCGCTGGCGCCCCCGTCCCATTTAGTAACCGGGGGCCCCGGATCCAAGCGCCCCTTCCTGGCCAGGCGGCGACGCACATCAGCTGTCTCCAGGGCTCCGACCCCCGTTTTCCTTAGCGACGAAATCGCATGTCGACCTGGTCACTCGACCTTGCTCCTGCGGGAAGCAGGTTCCCGCCGCGCGGCCGCTGCACGGTCTGTCCACGTCCTCACCGTAGAAAGTCAAGGGCGCCGAGTCTCCCAGTGACCGAGGGCTCCAGGAACTCCGCCCCTCGCGGGGCACAGCCACTACTCAGCTCTGTTTCCCCTGGAAACCGGAGCCAGCGCCTCCAGTCCCCGGTGACGAGACCCCGGCTGTGCTTTGATGCGCCGCCTCCCACTCTTCAATGTGCCGGCCTCGCTCTTTAAAGACCCCCAGACCACACGGACACTGGACACGGACACTGGACACGTCCACCTGGGAGGCCCTGCCAGGCCCGCACGAGGCTCCAACATCACCACCCTCGGCCCAGGCCATGTCAGTGTGAAGCTGGACCCTGTGTCCTCAGGGGTCACAGCTAAATGTGGGGGCAGATGCCTCCTGAGAAGTGTGCAGTCACGGGGTCACCAGAGGCCTGTCCCCAGGCCACCTCCCCTGCAGACCCAGAGACCAGGCCTGGGTGCCACTCTGCTCGTGGCTGAGAGCTGGCGCTGCTTCCTCTGGAAGAGGGGTCTTTTCACAAAGGTGACCCCCTCCCCTCCACGTCTCCAGCCCCAGGCAGCAGGGAAGGGGGCCCGGTGCCCCCCCCAGCCCTTCTCCAGGCTCCGGCTCTGCCAGCACTGGGCGCCCTGGCACGGAGGCGCTGGCCGCACGGGGACCCGCGAGGAGGGACACTGCCACCGCCGCTCGTGCGAAGCCCCCGACAGGCCCGGAGCGCGCTCCTCAGGCTCACGCCCTTCCTCAGAGTCTCCAGGGCTTTCGAGAATTTCAGATGACAAAGGCGCAGGTGGCCACAGGTACCACGTGAATGTTCGCGGGTTTATAAATGGTCTCATCAGCTCAGGTGTCCCAGACAGGTGCAGGTCGGCTCAGGTGCGGTCGAATGAGCTACGCTGGGACTTCAGATGTGCAGACTAGGACCGCCCAGCGCCCGGTGTCCGAGCACTGGAGGTGAATCCACTCGCCATGCGCACCGTGGCCGGTGACTGGTGGAACCCGGGTCCGCTGTCCTGCCCGGGGGACGGCGCCCGGTCCCGCGGTCCCACCCTCTCGGCACTGGCCGGGCACCTGCGGAGCGACCGTGATGGGCCCATCGCCCAGGGCACAGGCTGGCGTGAGGCCAGCTCAGACAGCCGGCAGGAGACAGGGGAAGAGACTCACTGCAGGCCACCCGATCCAGAACCCCGGGGTGGGTGGTCCCAGGCCACGGGATCTGTCCACCGCACTGCCGCCCGGCACAGGTGGGCCGCATGGGTGGAGGCTGCCCAGGGCCAGGCTGCCGGTGGGAATGGGGGGAAGCGGCCCGGCGGACCCTGGCGGGCTGTCCACCCCCTGCCTCTTCTCCCAGAGCTCGGCCCCCGCGGGCCGGGAGGGGTTGCTCCCGGGCAGGGGGTGAGCCTGGCCAGCCTCTGCACCCCTGCAGCCCCCACCCCAGACCCTGCACCACCCCCCCGAGGGGGCGGCCGTGGAAGCCACATGGCAAAACGCGGCTTAGCATTTCACGAGCTCGCTCACGTTCACCACCTCGTCAGAATGAGACGGAACGTTCCCAACCCATGGGGAAACCGAGGCAGAGGGCGGTGCACGCGGACGGCGGAGCAGGCTCAGCGCACTGCCCCAGCCCTTCGCCGCTCCCCGGAAGCCCCGCTCGCCCTTCTGCTGGAAGCCGCCTTTGTCCCCAGCCTCCTTCCCGACGAAGGTCACCTGCTATGCCAAGGCCCCTCGACGCCACCTGTGCGGCTTTTAAGGCATCCGCTCCTGGTTGGCGTGTGTCTCTCCTGTGCCCTTGGGACTCTCAGATTGGGGGCGGTGTAAGTCACCACCACCCAGACAGGGCCCGGCACGCAGGAGGTGCCCGAGAAAGCCCGCTAAGTGGACGGACAAGCCGGCCAAAGCGCTGGGTGTTTCCTCATCGGCCTCGGTCGCCCTCGGGAGCGAGGGAACACGCAGCCGAGGTCTCCGCCGGACAGGCCCGCCATTCCACGGCATGCCCCAACTCGGCCCCAGCCCCGGGCCCTGGAGGAGGCGCTCAGATGCCTCCTGGGCCCCAGGCGAGGGGCAGGCCACTGCCACCACACAGGCAAGCCCAGCAGACAGCTGGGCCGGGCCCAGGGAGACAAAACCGCCTCCGAGGAACCCAGGGAGTCACTTGGCGGTCTCAGAAGTCACACTTGAGTCTCCTTCGTCAGCAACTGGACAGACCCCAGGTGACGGGAACCCTTTCAGCGTAAGGGCTACTACAGATACCAGGAAGCCAGGGCCCGGAGCCGCCCGCTCGCACGGCGTGGGGACCTGCGCCCACGTGTCACACCCCGCCACCACCCTCCCCGCGCCCCTCCAGCCTGAGTGCACCCTACAAAGCCCCTGGGAACTGTTCCCAGGACCTCAGCCCATCCCCCACGCCTCTCCAAGCCTCCAGTGACTAACAGGGACCTTTGCAAACAATCGCCTACAGGCCCAAGAACAATGGCACCAAACCCCCGCTCCGAAACCGCAGCTGACACATTTTCCTGAAATTAGTAATCAGATGCCCTTCCTTGTCTGATTCAGCAGATCCCAAAGGACACAGAGAAGTTGCTCGATCCGCTAAGTGCAGGGGCCTCCGCCTCGGACGGCGGAGCCAGGGTCGGTCCCTGTCCACACAGATGCGCAGGAGCACTGCCTGAGCCCGGACACCAGTCCCACCGCGAGACGCCTCCAGGCGCTCCACCATGTCCCCTCCAGCTGAGGGGGGGGCTGCGGCGCCCCCCTCCGCTTCCCCCTCCCCCCACGGTGGCCCGCCTTTGCCTGTGGCCTGGAAAGTGCTGTGCCCTCCTCAGGCATCGCCCCCTCCGTCACTTAGCTGGCAACAGCACAAGGCGGCCCAGCCTGCAGGCGCCTCCACCTGGAAGCCCGCGGCATAAATCGCCCGGGCAGCGCCCCTCCAGCAGGTGGCCGGCTTCCCAGCTCTCCAGCCCCAGCAGCCCGGCCCCATGGAAAGGCGGGGCGCGGGCACCTACCGACGCTGGTGATCCTCTGCACCCCGAGGTCGTGCAGCAGGGCTTCGACCGCGGGGTTGTGTCTGGAGTACAGCTCGTAGCGGTTGATGCCGATGTGGAACCGGAGCCAGTTGGGGTAGGCGTCCGCCGCCGCCTCCCCGGTGGGCGAGGGCTGCTCGTCCTCGGGACCTTCCTGTGGCCTATGGGAAAGGAGGTGACCCCGAGTCAGCGGCGAGAGGACAGGGCATTGGGGGCGCTGGCCACAGACGCCAAGGTTTGACGTCTGGGTCCAAGAACGCGGCTGCGCGCAAAGGCGCCCTGCTCCGACGGGGCCCTGCGGAGTCTGCACTTTTTCTGTGGCTGCTGCTCAGCAACTAATAACACATCTCGAGGCCCGGAATTCCCGCCGCCCCTCGGAGCCGCCAAAGAGGGCTGTAACTAACGCGGCCCGGTCCCCGGACGCCAGCACGGCGCCCACCGCCTCCGTCCCAGGGTCTCCCAAACAGCCCGACAGGCACGACGTCAGCTCGGGGTCCGAGGGGCTGTCCGCTCTCCCTGGGGGGCAGGAAGACAAACTCGTCTGTGACCACAGACTGTGCGCAAGTCACAGACAGACACGCCCAGCCTCTCAGAAACTCTCCCTGGGAACCGCGCTGCAGTTCCGACCAGGGCCGGAATGATGCAAGACGCTAAATTTAATTTTAATGAGAGCAGTCTTGGGTGGGGAGAGGGAGGAGGGAGGCAGTCGCTCGGCCGAGGCTCAGACTGAGGACCTGCCACCCACGAGGCCGGCCGGACATCTCTGCAGTTGAGGGGCCAGTCTGGGGGACAGCAGACCCTGTTTACTGCTGGCTGGACGAGAAAGTAGACTCAGCTTAGCTCTAACTCACCTGCAAGCAAGGCCTTTCGGCCCCTACCCCTGTCCCACAGTGGACACGACGGGCAGCTCCGTCACTGACTACTGGCTCTGGGCTCTGTCCTCCTATGATGAGCCACAGGCCCAGGCCACTGCTCCCATTCTCAAGTTTCTGGGCACTTCCTCGAACCCGGCCAGCAGCCCAAGTCCAGAGGCCAGCAGACAAACACCTTGGTATATTTAGACAGAAAACTCGGAGCCTGGTCAAATTTCAGGGAAGAAAGGATTTAATAAGATGTTTCGGAACCCTGGCCCCCTCCACTGTGGCCTGGGTAACCTTTTGCAGGTAGTTATTTATTCTGGCCTCGCTGCTAGTTAATGTTTCACTAACTAGCTCTGGGTTGCAGCATCTGCTTATTCTGCTCTTTGTGGCTGAGGAAGGCTCTGGGGGAGGGTCCAAGACCAGGACGGTTGAGAAAGAAGCTCCC